AATTCAAATAAATGGAACTTCAAAAGCATGGCGATCGCTTTGCCGCAGTTCGCGCTCATCTCTAGATGCACAAGTCGCGGATCTTCATAGTTTTGGACTAAGCGAATGAAAGGGAGAAGCAATCTTACATCGGTCGCCTCGGCAACTCTTCGAGGAAAACTTGGCAAACTGCGACTTCTGATCGCTTCATGAGCGATTGCACACACAGATTTCTTCCTTTGTTCATTTCCCGGTAGGAAAAAAATTCTCTTTGTCAAGGTCTGGACCAAATTGCCACCTCCATCTCTCAAAGGCATTTCGAACCAAAGTGCTTACAAGAGAACCTGTTTAGTCGAAGTGGCCGTTTCAAATAAGACCTATACTGCTTTGAAGAGCATTGGACACTATTCAAAATCTGCCTTCATTATCTGCCAAGTGCCTATGGAAGCCGAGTTATGGGCGTTTTCAGGTCAAAAATTGAACGCGAACTGAAACAAAATCTCCCATTGCTCGTCCAATGTCGAGGTTTAGAGCAGCTCTTCATGGATACATTTTGAATTTTGCATTCATTTTTCGATCCAGAAGACGGTCATAAGGCTGGGTTAATATTGATCCGTAAGTTCCGGAACAGTTCCAACACAGCACACAATTCGAGCGCTGTGCTGGAGCTATTCCGAAACTTGCAGACCAGCATGAACCCAGCCTAACTCGGCGTCTAGAAGCGCTGGGCAGATAATGAAGGCAGATCTGGAGCCAGCGTGCAGTACTCTTCAAAGTGGTATGGGTCTCATTCAAGAAAGCCACTTCAAACACGCTTCCCCTGTCAGCTCTTCTCCCTAAACTTTCCATTCCGCAGCCCTAAAATCTTTATTCCACTGACTTCCCAGATGATGAACTCTACTTTCTCAGCTGCCATTTCTTGCAAGTTGAGGTCTAACGCATTTACAAAATCTTTATGTGTTCCGCTTAACACCACAAGCAGAAAATGACAGTTAAGTAATGCTACTACAGTAGCAAGTTTCGGAAAGTTGGGAGATCGAATTCTCGATTTTATAACATAGGTAAGACTACCGCAAAATAACAAAAAGCAGCTTGTAAGTTTGTACTTCCTACAATTTCCGGAGGAAAAAAAGTTATGAAAAGTTGCATTACTGAATTGCCAACCTCATATTTATCAATAGGCTAACTCCGAGGGCGGCTGCGTGATGGTTATCTTGTTTCTAGTAGTGAATGTGTAGACTCTGATTGGTTCGTCTGGTTTTCTCTTTGTAGTATGCGCTCAATTCTAGGGGATATCACTTTAAAGTGCTGCATTTTGGTCAAAACTCTCCCCTCCACAACGGCATAGTGAGAATGGAAAAAAGGTGATCGTAACTGTGCCACGAATTCGCATGCTCAAGCTAGACTTTGAGCAGCGACTGATTTCATTCTATGTTCTCCTCTGAAAACTATTTCAAACAAACAATCACGATTTGCTCGAACCGACTTGTCGCGCTACTAGGCGGTATGCATGAAATCACAAAAATAGACTTCGGACTACCGAAAAACCAGCTGTTGAGTACGGCACTAGTGGGTTACTAATTACCCTTACTTCAGAACTAGAAATATGCAGCTGTATGATATCAGATCGTAAACGGCCACCGCATTTCAATCACAGAGACGGGAAGTGAAAGTTTAAAGGACGGTGAGAAAAGCGCGCTTGGGTCCCGGCACGAACAGCCTGCGGAGAGCCTGACTACGGTCCCTGCCTTTGTTGGGGGGGGGGGGGGGCAGATAGGGCACTTCCTTCCATAGTTTACTCTAAAAATTTTTCAAAATCATTTTTTGATGCTATCAAAATCCATATATGGTCAACTTAAACCTCATAGAACAACAGCCGGCGAGCAACCGGGTGTTATTCGACGCAGTACTTTCTCCTCTTTCAGAGACATATTTTTTGTTCTTGATTTGAGAATTCTTGGACTATAAGATCGACAAAATTCATGTTTTTTTAAGGAACCCCAGGTTGTACCCGACAAATCAAAAATTAGATATTTCGGAACCCGAAACGCTCACTTGTTTCGTAAAATTAGTGCTGAACCCTAATTCCCTTCGAAAGGATCAAAAAACGAGAAGTTAGTGGAGTTTGACGAGTCTACGCCTAGTATGGGACTCCCAATTATCGATGTGTTGTTCAAAATTCTGTCAAAAAATTATGGAGAGCCCTGGAAAGGAGATCGAAACTGTTTTGTATCCTACTTTCTTTGCTCTATCCGAGGGCCACTTGGACTTCTTCGAGGGGTCAGTACAAGAAAGGAAAATAGTGGAATTTGACCTTGGTAAAAAGCATGAGTCGCAGTTTACCGCAAATTTCTGATAGCTCATTGTTTCAACTGCTAAATAAAAATGACAATTCAAAAGGGCATGAAAATACTGCCTCGAATGCTACCAAGAGCTTCTGTAAATTCTGCGGACTGTGGCGGCTGTTCAAAAAAAGTGAAAATAATTTTGAGACGATCTAACACAATTTTAAACTTTTGGTTTCAGTGTGCTATGCTCAAAATACTGTTTGATAAGATCTATGATGCTCATAATGCACTTGGAGCAAATAAAGGATGTGTTTGGCTTTTTTTGGTTCGGCACATCAGTTTCACAGGAGTTTTAAAACACTTACAACATATCCATAGGATTAAAGAGATGTGTAGTACCAATTTCTTTATATGTCTATATTTCTAGCTATTCTCAACGAAATTAGACAAAATAGCTGCAATGGGGTCAGTTTTGTCATTGCAGTGTGCGTGTGAAAAATCAGCCTCTAATAACACCTTGTAGTTTTCTAAAGGTTTCACTTCTAATCTTGCCTTTAGCTTGGATTAGAGTTTCTATTGTGAATGTATCTTGAGGTAAAAGTATCAAATTTGATGAACACGGATTCATCGCTGATAAGGCTACCTTAAGGTAGAATTCACCTCAAAGTATCCTTAATTCCCCATGAAATCATTTTTAAGGTTGTAACCTTGAGCATTTACCTCAAGGTACATTGATGTATACGGGTTTTAAGTGATAATACTGCCTGGAGGTAGGATTTACCTCAAGGTAGCGATAATGAATACGGCCACAGGTCCCTTTTCAGCAAAGCCAGCTACTTCGGTTTGGAAGAGCGGGCCTTTTGCTCACAGATAACCAGAAAAGAATTTGCGGAGTTAATAAGTAGCGGGCGGGCTGTAAGCATTATTTGTTTAAACGTGCCCGTATGAAGTTTGACGGATGCAAAAAATACATTTTTTGTCAAGCCAATTTCAAGCTATTTTTCGAAGATAATCATTTTGTGGTTTTTTCCTGACCAGCTCTTGATTAGAGTTGATCTCGTTTAAGGGTTTATTGAAAGCAACTGGTATGGCTAAGCGAATTGCAACTTTCCGAGTGGGAAAAGCATTAAAAGCAAACTCCGAAGGACATTTGGTACTCTCTCAGAATGAAGCAACACTATGGACGCTGTCTTCAATTTTGCAGAAACGGGAATCAGCGCGGAGCGAGAAGGAGATACTGCAGTGGTGTGAAATTCCTTCTCGGACAGTCAAATGATGTAGCGTTTGATCCGCCCAATCTTGACCACACAAAATCAATCTTCTTCTGGTCACCCTGGGACTAGAAAGCCTGATCCTCAAACACATGCCATTTGATGCCAAAAGAAAATTTGATCAGAGCCTAGGACAAAATCTTGCCAACATATTACTCAGCCCAACTTGGGAAAGTTTTGGAATAGATTCGAAAAAGAATAAATGCTTCTATCAAAGTCAGAAGCAAATGAATTGGAAGTGATCTAGAAAATCTCATGACAAATTTTCTTACCTATGCAATAAAGGCAAAAGTCTCTATCAGTTTTTAAGAAGTTATGCTTTTTATGTCACACTTCATGTGGACTAGGCTTTATAAGTGCAAGGGTATCCAAAAAGGAAACGAACTTTCGATTTCTAATTGCGCGTATGAGAAACTTTCACCAGCACCAAGTAAAGGTTGCTCAAATTTCAATTTTACCGTATGTAACGTATTACTGATTTTTTTGGTAATTACAATTATAATGACTTTGAAGAGAATTCTAAAGTATAAAACGCCTATTTGCCTCAAAAAACAAACTATGCAATCTAAAAACTATGCGGCTAGTAAATTAACTAACTCTAAATATGAAGTCTGCACTTTGCCGTATTACTTCGCGTATACGTTAGGCTAAGTATATACCGTGGCAACGTCTTCAAATTCTCACAGTGCGACTAGGACATCCAAAAGTTTAAAGTGTAAAAGTCGAGCATGGAAATCAGTATAAGTAAAAACCCAGTACACAACTTTCAAAACTTTAAAAGATTTTTTCTGAAACGGTAGCATATCCACAATGGCGCTTTCTGGAAATTCCTACTGTAATTACAATGAAGAGAGCTCGGTGATTTGTTTTATACTACAAATCTAAGTTGAAGTCAGCTTTGCATTATAAACGTCAAAAGACCGCAGAAGCTTTTTGTATAGAGTTAAAGATGATTATTAAAAATGAAAGCGTCGATATGCATTTTTCTACTAGAAAACAGTATCCATCCAACTACAACACCACCTAGCGTTGCAATATGCGAAACTGTCGAAAAAAACTAGAACTTTATTATACATGCGTATTACTTAACCGCTCAGACAATCACAGGCTCTCAGCCGGCAGCCACAAAGCCACCACGAAAACCCACCAAAAGCGCGGTGGCCTCATCGCCTCACTGTCGCTTCCCGCTGAGAACTGGCAGCGAGCGGGCTGCTATAAAGCCTTCAGCGCGAAGCGAAAAGCCTTCAGCGCGAAGCGAAAGCGGCGGTTTCGCTTCGCGCTGAAGGCTTTATAGCAGTCCGCTCGCTGCCAGTTCTCAGCGGGAAGCGACAGTGAGGCGATGAGGCCACCGCGCTTTTGGTGGGTTTTCGCGGTGGCTTTGTGGCTGCCGGCTGAGAGCCTGTGATTGTCTGAGCGCTGACGTGCATGCTTCCGACCTTCAAAATTGATCATCACTTTTCAGAAAATCATTGAGAAATCACTCAAAAACTTCACAAAAGCCGAAAAAAAGTTCAGAAGATTCCTGAAGTTAACAGGCACACCAGAATTGATTTCTTCGTCCGCGAACACAACACGAAACCGGGAGCTTTTAGAATGTTTACTCAGACATCTCAAAAGAAATGAACCTGTCATGATAAATGGTGGCTTGAGAGGGTGCGTCAAGCTAAAACTGTATAGGCGCCGTAAAACCTAATTGCCCGCGCCGTGCCTTAAAGCGTAAGCGAGCGGTCGTTGCGAACAATCGTCGGCTTTCACTATATTCCAAGCAATTTTTCTTTAACTTTCATGTTGTTCTCGTCAATGCAAGATATATCTTGACGAAAGCTTTCTTTAAAAGTTTATAAAAGTATGTGTGGGAAGGGTGCGCGCTCATTGTCGCTCGCAAAAAGCCTGTAGCGCTTCGGGACCAAACGTTTCAAGCCGCGCCGCGCGTTGGTCTTCAAAGCGATGAGTGGGCAATTAGATTTTACGGGGCCTGTGCCATATAACTTTCCACCCTAACCATTGTGGTGACTAAGTTCTGCAACTATTTGTAAACACACGAATTTCCTCATTTTGAATGTAGAAAACTCGTTCATCGACATTATAAGGAACATTAACTGACCTAGCCTCAATCCACATTCTGCGAATGCTGAACATTGACGACGTTGAAGAGTTTTCCTCGTGGTTCCTAAGAGCATCGTGATCCTCGCCATCGGTACCGGAGATAATTTTTTGACGACCTTTGAAGCTTTTGTGCAATGCAGTTTTTCGGAATTTCAAGAACATGTATGAAGGGAAGTCAATAATTGTAAGTATGTTTCTTGCTTACGCCTTGGATGCTTTTCTATATTTGCGATTGCATCACACTGCTTCTATAGTTTTCGGGGGTTTTTAGACCCTGTTTTCGTCACATCTGCACTTCCTATACAAATACTTGATTGGCTCTCCCAAGCCCTATGCACCTGTTTGGCTTTATCATCACCAGCCTTCAAGGGTTCAAAACGTTCTCTTAGCTTGGATGATTGTTCATGAGATCGAAAACCATCTCCCCTTCTCAAAGGTCCCTCTTTTGGTTAGCTCAAGTTTCCTGATGGATCGTCTTCCTTGGATGAAGTTGATCGGCCCTCAGAAGCTTTTGCTTTCTATGCCTAGAACAAGCCGGTAGGTTTTACTCATTTCGTGGAGAAGGAGAGTGGTTTCCACAATGAACAAGGTCTCAGACAATCGCCGGGTTAAGCGCGCTGTTTGAAAGAGTGCTGCGTTTTAGACGAACGCTTTAATGCAATCGCTACTTTTTGATTGCGTAGTTGTGGCGCGTTGCCGCGAGTTATGTAAGAAAGTGTAGGGCCGCGCGGTCATTATGAAATCCAGCTTGATCCATAATAGCCCGAACAGTACCTTACAGGTAACTAAACCAGCGATGACATCTTTGTCATTCAAAGCTACCTTTAGTCGGCGTATTTTCTATGATGCTCAACTTGAACGTATCTTGATCGGCGATGCAGCCAGAGTGTTTTGTACAAAATGAGTTCAGCTTCTCTCCAAAAATCTAACATAGTAGCCCTGAATGTTTCCAGAAAATTCTTACGATTTTATCATCCAACAAAATAATGCTGTTTGAAATATTTCGTACTCTTATGAGTGTTCTAAACAGCCTAAGAATTTTTTGATTGGCAAATTGGGTTTACTGTTAAAGATGAGCTCTTTGAGAACCTACTATAGCACAATATCGACCTTGTAAGATGAAGGAAGGTCAATGAGAACAAAAGCTAATCCTCGACTTTTACAAATTATCGAGGTCATAAAGGTCTAATGAAAAACATCAACGATGCTGCAATGGAGGCCCTCCATATAAAATTGAGGTTTAGATCCAATCGTTCAATTTTTGCACGGTACTCATCGTTGTTTTGTATGGGTGGTAGAATCAGGTCTTACCGAAAGTCGCACAAACGAACAAACAAGCAAACACAATGTAAAACACAAGCTAAAAATTAACTTTTCTAAAAAAGTTGTGAAAGCAGAATTTGACAATTTTATAGCACCCTTGGCATGTGATCACTGAGAATTTTACCAAACATGATTGTCTTGTTCTGTAAAATTGCTCTTGCTGATCTTATGATGAGCACTCGTTTGATATGCGCTCAAAAATAGCTAATGAGCCCTAGCAGAAAATTCTGTCTTGCTGCTTGTTGGCAGAGCATGCAACGTAATAGAGTTCCGCTCGCTTGAGGTCTAGCCACGCCCCAAAATTTGGCTGTACGCTGGCAAGAAAGGGCGAGTTCGCTGTCCGCCTGCCCCGGCGATTACGAGCTTATGTAACCCGCACTCGTTTTTGCGGTTTCTGGTGTTTTGGTGAACCTTTATGCGCTGATTGAATAAATAAGTATCCTTAAGTATCCGTCTCCACTCGGCCATGTCTACATAGATTAAAAACGCCAAACTACTTCTTTGCAATTCACTTTCCATGACCTCCCACTTTTATATGCCAGTTCCTTGTTTCCGCTTGTTTCCCCAAGCTCACTTACTCCGCTTCCAACTCTTTTCACCTCTGATCCTGTACAAGAAATTGGTGAAAACGAAAATGCAACCAGTGTTTTTTAAGTGTTCCTTCATTATCGGCGTACCACCTTATTTTCTGTAGCAACTCTTAGCTCCTCGCTCAAAGTTGTCAAAAATCGATGAGACGACAAAGCCAATCGACAATTCTGAGAAGTGATACTTTTTATACAGTATAATTACGCTCGAGAACAATTGCTGTTTTTTCATAGATTAGCTGCGACCACTCAGATAATCGCCGGGAGTAGGCGGCCATGCGATTTTTGGGCAAGCGGGTACCGGAAAGTTCGCTAATTTCTTGCGGTCCGCTTGCAAAAATTTGGGAGAATGTTGGCCAATTTTTAGGCGAGTGCTCGGAGAATAATCGCGGTTATTCAACAGACTGGTTGCTCCGCAGTGGCCGCATTCTCGCGGACTTGACGCGAGAATATGCAAAACTAGTTGACTTACCCGGCTCCGCCCGGTCCTTTCATCATTATATTCGTAATCAGCATGCTCGATTACCCCCCTGTGCCAACTCCCAGCCCTGTAGCTCAAATTTTGCAAAAAATCGATAAAATCGATATCGATCGATGACTAAAAGTAGTCTATGACACCCGCCGGGGTCCGAAATGTATGTGTGCCAAGTTTGGTCCGGATCGGTTCAGAAATGGAATTTCCTATTCGGAACATACGTACACACAGACATACAGACATACATACAGACAAACAGACATTCGGCTTTATATATAAGATTATTGAGGGCCGCCGGTCCTTCGTAGATGACCACGCAGCCCGTAGGTACCCTCCGCTGTGAGAAAGTACCCCAGACTCGGGTAATCAAACCATCGATGACACCTCTGCCACACGGAGTCTCGCCTTTGCTCGGCGTGCGCACGAAACTGCTTTAAAAGAGTCCGAGCGAAAAGTTTGGCCAGTGCTCGCTGAGGGAGACTATTTGACAAGTGCCTGCACTTCTATATTGCTGCCCGTTGGCAAAACACGGAAGTATCGTTCGCTGAAGGTTTGACCACGCCTCAAAATTTCGCTGACCGTTTGCAGAAAAGCGCGAGTTTGCTGACTGCCTGCTCCTGGCCTTTATCTGAGCACCGCGCCCCAGCTAACCTATAAAAAAGTAGCGATCATTCTCTGAGCGTTAGTCTAAAAAGTGGTCAACTCCTTTCCAAATATCTGCAAGCGGTCCGCATGAAATCAAGTATCTATAATATCTTTCCAACTCAGACAGTCGACGGCATACCTCCGGAGCAGAAATGGCAGAGCCGCGGGGTTTCCCCAGCAGGGGATTGCCACTCGTGCTCCGGAGCCCTCCCATTTTGTGCTCCGGAGCCCTCCCATTTTGGACTCCGGAGTCCTCCCATTTTGTGCTCCGGAAGTCTGCCGCGGCATACTTTAGCCCTAATTAAGCTCCAAACCCCACCTAAATTAGCTTTAGACCAGCGTCGAGCATGGCATACGACCGCCGAATACGACCCCCCCCCCCACCCCGCGGGTAGGAGTTCAGCGCGACCCTCAACCCCGTTCTTTACCCCCTCCATCTCACCCCTAGCGTTTACAGATAGAATAAGAAGAATGAAGAGACAAGACATTTAATTCGAGTTAACTGCAAACAATCTACTGCAAATCGCAAAACAAAATTGTTGTACATTGCGTTGAGCTTGAGTTCGCTTCTGTCCATAGGTATCATCACGTTTGCTCCACGACGGCTGCAAGTATCGAATAGATGCAGTTGAGCGTATAGTAATCACGCCATACGTACTGTCGCTCTGCTTGTAGATTTTCTTACGAAAACGATTATATAATAAATCAGCGAGTGCCGAAACCGCTACCTGCCCTTTCCTCCTTCACTCTCCCCTATCTGACCCCTTGTCTCCGCTTTTTTGTAGGATTGAAAACAGGAACATTTTGAGCTGATGCTGTAAACTCTTCATCGATGCGTTTTAGCTTTTTGCGTGTCATAAAAGAATTACGTGAACTACTTAAGAGGTCCACTATACCATGAATGTTAATCCGTATTAGTGCCAGAAATAAAAACAAGCTAAGAGGCGAAGTTCAGAATAAATGCTTGCTCTCGGATTGTGCCAGAAACGGCATATCCTAACCTCCAAGGCCAATAGCACCTTCGAGACCAGCTATTCTAATACTGCGACGAGTAGTGGATGTTGTTTTTACGCCATAACTGAGGATTGTGACTAAAGGATTCATATGAGGAAGTTTTATAGTTCATTTGAGGACGCAAGCAATACCGCTTTTGCAACTACTGGTTTTTTTTTCATATACTACAACATATACAACATATATCACATCCTATGACTAAGAGAGGCGAGCACGCTCTGCGTACGTTTGATCAGCAAGTTCATGGTTGGGTTCTACCTTGATTATTCAATATCAGGAATACGTAAAAGAAAGTGTTCAAGCCAGCGTGGTTCAACGAGCTCAAACATGTTCTTCCACGAAATCTAATAGTAAATCTAATAGACGTGCTAGTAATCAAACTCATTCATGAACTTGTTAGTAAAACGTACGCAAAGTGCGCTCGCGTCTCTTAATCAAAGAATGAATATTAACATATTGTATGACGAGTAGAGTCTACAGAGGCGAGTGCCTTTCGGGTGCATTGAGCCTCACAAAATTACCATACGTCAACGTAAGCACTCCAACAGAAAAAAAAACACTAACTGGATTATATCCGCCACAGATGCCAACGGAGCGTCGCTTATGAGCAGCATATAAACTGACAAGGTCATGTAAACAGTTTGAACGATGTTGTTTGTTGGGCAAAGGATCAAGCCAAGAAACGAATTAGAGTGGGACTTTGATGCTCCACATATCCGCAGCTAAAATGTTGTTCCAACGTCATGTATAACCTACCAAAATCATAGCAATCCTCACCTCATCTGCTTCTAATGCTAGAGTTGAAAGGAGTGACGGAAGCAGTACGATGGATGATAAAAAATAAAAGTGATTCGCTCCAGCTTGTATGACTTGGTCAGAGTAATAGGCTGATAAATTCGAACAAAAAGACAAGTCCTAGAAACGAAAGTTTAGGATAAGCTGAGCAAGCATTACAATAGCTGGTCATATGCAAGGCAGACTTTTTCGTACATGAGATTCTGAAAGACTGGGTACCTCAGAAAGCTCGTGAACATGTAGAGGAACAGGGATCTCCGCAAACACTTTCCTAAAATGCAAAGTTTCCTAATGTGGGAACGATTAGGACCGAAAGCTAACCAGGCTTACTACGACTAGCGCGACCAGCACGTTGCATATCACTAGCTTTAGGTATCGGTCATACTGATAGTGACTCAACACGAGTCGTTTATAAACTTTTTGTTTCATACATCCAGGATCTATCACAAAAACCACCCCATCAATAGTCAACGATGTTTTAGCAAGTCGAAAAGAGCCAAACATAAAGTGACTAAGTGCATCCGCACGAAAACCTAAAAACCTGAAACCTGAAAAGAATTAACTGAACAAATAAACGCCAAAAGCGCCGAAGAGCAACACGAAAAAGAAAAATAACGGAAAAGAACGCGGAAAAACGACAGCAAGTCGAAAACGAGAGCCGAACACCAAAGGCGATTGAGTGCATCCGCACGAAAATCCGAAATAAACCTGAAACGAATAACTTAAAACAACATAAACGCCAACGCGCCGACGAGAACACGGAAAACCAAAAAAAAGAAAAGCGAGCGCGAAAGAATGACAAAAAAGGGTAGGTCGAGAGCGACGGCAGCTTATTTTCGAAAATGCTAAGCTGCGTATTACAGCAAATTGGCCGCGTACCTGTTGTGCTCCGGAGATGTCCCAAATCTGGCGTACCTCCGGAGCGCAAATCTGTGCCCCGGAACCCTCCCATTCTGTGTCCCGGAGACCTCCCGTTTTGTGCTTCGGAGACCTCCAATTTTCTGCTCCGGGCCCCTCTGCTCTGGAGACCTCCCATTTGTGCTCCGGAGCCCTCCCATCTTGTGCTCGGGAGGTGTCCCAAATCTGGCGTACCTCCGGAGCGCAAATCTCTGCTCTGGGGCTCTCCCTAATCTGGCGTACCTCCGGAGCAGAGATTTGCGCGTCCCGGAGAGGGGTCTCATTCGCCTGCTTGTGACGTCACCGTGACCTACAAGAAGGGACCGCCCCTTGCCCCGCTCTCAATGGTCAATTGGGTCCTCCGCGGCTCTGCCAGATTTCGACTGTCCTCCGGAGTTACGGCACCGACCGTCTGAGAGTGTCCACTTGCCCATAAATGCATGGCCGCGTATCCCGGCAATTCTCTGAGTCTAGCTCTTAGTTTGACAATCTTGGAGAATCAATAAATTGACAAATGAAACATCACGCGCATGTTCATAGTATACATCCTTTATCATATTCTATGCAATGCTGAAGAACTGGTGCTCTACGTTGAAGAGGAAAGTTATGATTTCATGCGGAACTTAGTTGCCACCAGGGTAAAGCGGGGGGTGCGGCACGCCGTAGAGGGGGGTCGTATTGAGGAGTCAAAAGGGGAGGGGGTCGTAGTCAGGTGATCTGATTATAGCGATAACATGATATTCGTATCATATCCATAATTAACACGTCAATTAACCCCTGTAGACAAAGTGTGAGCGAATTCTGAAGATTCAAGATACTAGGCTACCTAAGTGAAATGGTCAAATTCCAACATGGTTAAATTTGTTTTAAAGGTGAATTAGCTATCCGTTTTTGCACTCAAGACAAAGCACTACTCCTTCTTTGTCCACCTCAGGAATCCCGCTTCAGAAGACCTCCAAACTGTGGAATTAGAAGCCAACCAAAATCTCATTTTTCCCATTTTTCGCTTTTGATGGCTGTGCTTTCACCAAATATTACTCAGAGCTAAGAAGACGAATCAGGCTCAAAACATCCCTATGGAATCTACGAGGATTAGGCTATCGATTCACATAAATATTGTCCGCTAAAAATGTTTTTTTGATATAGTTAATGGCCTGCGGCACCCCTGCGGCACCCCTGCGGCAGCCGCAGGTTTTGAGGGGGGGTGCCGCAGGCCATTAACTATATCAAAAAAACATTTTTAGCGGACAATATTTATGTGAATCGATAGCCTAAACCTCGTAGATTCCATAGGGATGTTTTGAGCCTGATTCGTCTTCTTAGCTCTGAGTAATATTTGGTGAAAGCACAGCCATCAAAAGCGAAAAATGGGAAAAATGAGATTTTGGTTGGCTTCTAATTCCACAGTTTGGAGGTCTTCTGAAGCGGGATTCCTGAGGTGGACAAAGAAGGAGTAGTGCTTTGTCTTGAGTGCAAAAACGGATAGCTAATTCACCTTTAAAACAAAGTTAACCATGTTGGAATTTGACCATTTCACTTAGGTAGCCTAGTATCTTGAATCTTCAGAATTCGCTCACACTTTGTCTACAGGGGGTATTTGACATGCTAATTATGGATATGTTGTCCATTATGTTTGACAGAGCCTTCAGGTAATACTATCTTAAGTGTATAGTTTAGGAGGGGGGTCTTATTAAGACAGCAATCAGGGGGGGGGGGGTCGTATCCGACGGTCGAGTGCCGCACCCCCCGCTTTACCCTGGTTGCCACCCTAATATATGACTAACCATCAAATTTAGGCTGCTGTTCATTGCAGCCACTGGTGTATTCGCTGTCTGCTGTGTCATACCTCCACCAGTGTTTAGACGTCAAAAATCTAAAGTAAGTATGTAATTAACCGACTACATGTGAACGTATTGTAGGCCCCCATACCATGCATAAAACATTTAAATCCATAAATCCAGTAGCAACGCATTTTGGCAACGCTCCAACTGTTTACAAGTCATCTTGAGCGCACTATAATCGCAGAGAATATGCAATTTTATCAATTTTCGTCGCAAAAGTTTTACACCGTACGCTTTGAAGTCTGCTAGAGTGTCTAGTACACTCGTCAAGATGCCTAATCGCGCGGCCATAAAATCGAGTGTGCTCGGAACACTACATCAGCGAAAAAAATTGCGTTTAGTAGTTAGAGTGAGTAAGTGAACTATGGGTCACAGAACTGTAAACGTGTGGAAATCGTTATCAGTTTCCGCCATTTTGAGTCTCAACTTATTGCAATCATTCGAGCGCGAAGAACCCTGGGTAGGGCTCAACCCCGTTGGTTTGAAGCATTTTTGGAAACGAAGTCAAGACTCTGTAGCCTGTAGACTAGAATTTGTAGCCTACACAATTTGGCGATGCGACTGTCATCACAAAACTCAAAGGAAGTCAATGCAATGCGTATATTGTTTATACTATCCTTGGCTAAAAAGGAAGATGGGCATTGGTTTGATTTGCTCTGTCCAATATATTAGGTGGGTCACAAAGTTCGTTCGCCAGATTTTCAAAAAATCATAACTTCCTTTTCTTGGTGAAATTTCTTGATCTTATTTTTGTTTGAAAGAAATAACACTCCTCTTTACAATAGTATCTTTGCATGAAATGTTGTGGGAAAGTTCGAGAGTTAGAAGCAATTGAATAAATTTACTCAAGAATAGCATTTTTCAAGCTGATCACGAAAAATTCAGGAAGTATTATTATTTGATAAAGCAAATTATGCTCTTTACTGCAGTTCCTTTTCTACGAATTAAAACGAAAAAGATCGAGAGTTATGAGCAGATGAAGAGAATTACTTTAGTTTTGCATTTTTGAGCATTTTTGAGCGTTTTTGTGCTTTTTTGGGCACGCTCAAATATTGCAAAACTGAAGTAATTCTCTTCATTTGCTCATAACTCTCGATCTTTCTCGTTTTGATTCGTAGAAAAGGCACTATAGTAAAGAGCATAATTTTCTCTATCATGACTTATAATAACGGGCTAAGGGTGTTTATGTGACTTTGTGCGTGTGTGTGTGCCTGTCGCGAAATTCGGGGAGCCTGTTCCAGCTAATGTCTTGAGTCCAAATTTTGCATGGCGCATGCTACCTTCATGAAAGTCCAACATGCAAAAGCACGAGTAGATTCGTTGAGTGGTTCCCTCAGAAATTGCGAGCCAAACGGGTCCACCTGGCTTCTGTACCGCAAAATTCGGTCCGTATCACCACTTTTTGCAGAGTCGTGGATGAGTTTGGTAAGCAAATGTGCAAGCGATGGAGTTTAGCCAGAAAAGTCGTCGAAAGTTTACTACATGACGAAAACGGCGCAAAAACGAATTGGTTGTGTAAATGGTCAATTTGCCAAAGTTTTAGCTAAGCGTTTGAGAAGATTTTCGCACAGAGATGTAGCTCACGGTTATCATTACCTTTATGGCGACTACCAAGTCATGACAAATCCAAAAACCTATTCAAATTTGCGTTTGTTTCCTGCGAAAAATTTCATCCACGCGAAATCACCGATCTCATGTGAAAAGACTTTCTAAATGAGTAGTTGTTTACATTTTATTCGTGATAATCGGCATAGCGCGGTGAGTTCCAGTGCCACGATTTTACGAGAATGAGTAAGGTACATAGATAGTAGAGCCAGTGCGAACCTCTGCGAAGCAGAGGTGATGCACTGGTCAAATAATAATACTGCCATAATTTTTCGTGATCCAGCTTGAAAAATGCTGATCTCGAGTAATTTTATCCTTTAGCTTCTAACTCTCGAAATTTCTCACGGTTTCTGATGCCGAAGATACTGTTGTAAACAGGAAGGTTTTCTCTTTCAAAAAAAATAAGATTAAGAAATTTTACCGAGAAGAAAGGAAGTTATGATTTTTTGAAAATCTTGCGAACGAACTTTGTGACCCAATTATTGGGTTGGTGCATAATTCCTGCACTAAAATAGGTACAGAGCGCAATAATCCAAAATTCTCCTATACTCTATATAGAATTTTATAAATCATTAAATAGAGCAAACCTAGCTCTACAAGATAGTTCACAAAAATCTACACCATCTTTGATCCACGCGAAGTTTTGAACCAAAAACTGAAAAAAAACCATGCGTTCGAAAACCTTAAGACAAATCTAAACAAAATTGTAACTCCGTTAGAAAAACCCTGCAAAAATTCTCTCTTGCTCACGCGTAGACGTTCCATGTAAGACATCTATCTATGCAGTTGCTGTAATTTTTTCTCAGCTAGACGATGAGAAAACGAAGTTTTTTATGTTTTTGCCAAATTAGTGCTGAGATGTTCTAACATTGACAGCTGTATAGTACATGCCATTAGCAGTAAAATTTTACATTTTCAGCCTTCTAGAAGGACTAATTCACGAAAACTATCGATTCTAGCTCTCTTTATCCGAATTTTTCTTGCCTTGTTGCCACAAATTCGACATTTCTCGTAAACCAGCTGCTCTAAAAAGCTGAAAATTCACGAACACGCTTCTAAAGTCCTGCAGTATACAAGAGTAGGTGTTAGAACATCCCAGCATTGTTTTGAAAAAAAACATGAAAAACTACGGTTTCTCTATTTCTAGCTGAGAGAAAAATACAGCAACTGCACAGAAATATGTCCTAGACGAAATGACAATGCATGAGCATGTTAGGAATTTTGGAGGATTTTTCTGAACGAACTTTCAATTTTTTCTTGGGTTTTCGGAGCACTTGGATCTTTCCGGTTTTTAGCTTCAATCTTCGCGTGGATCAAAGCTGGTGCAAAACTTCAAGAAACGTCTTGTAGAGCTAGGTTTGATCTATCTAATGATATAACGAACCCTATTTGAGATATTGGATTATCCCGGATTATTGTGGTCTGTACCTAATTTGGTGCAGTAATTATGCATCAATCTAATAATATTAGGTTGTCAAGAAAATAATGTCGTTTTTTATTTGCTTGCTTTGGCAAAGCAACCAGACTCAGTCCAACAAAGGGTAGTAGGTACTGTTCGATAGAGCAAAGCAAGCTCTACAAGACGGCCTTCATGATTTTGCGCCACGTTTGATCCACGGAAAGTTCGAACTCAAAGTCTGAAGATAAAAAAATCAGATCTTTGTCCAAATAATTTCTACGGACCTCCCACTCGCACACACCAGTACTTCCGAAATGTGATACCCATATGTGCAGTTGCTGTATTTTTCCTTGACTAGAAACTGAGAAAACGAAGATTTTCGTGTTTTTCTAAAAGCAATATCAAAATCAGCTTTCTTCGTTTCACTTTCAGTGCTAAAAGCGGCATTTCTCGAAAACTACCGCTCGGAATGGGCTGAAAAGCTACAGTTATACTTAAGCTTGTAGTATAGAACCTAGGCTTGTAGTATAGAATCGCATATGCAAGAACGGCTCAGCATTGCTTTAAAAAACACGAAAATCTTCGTTTTTTCAGTTTCTACTCAGGGAAAAAATACAGCAACTGCACATATAGGTATCACATTTCGAAAGTACTGATGTATGCGAGTGGGAGGTCCGTAGAAATTATTTGGACGAAGATATGATTTTTTTCGAGTTTTTGACCATTCGGAAATCTTCAGATTTTGAGTTCGAACTTTCTGTGGATCAAACGTGGCGCAAAATCATGAAGGCCATCTTGTAGAGCTTGCTTTGCTCTATCGAACAGTACCTATTACCCTTTGTTGGATTGAGTCTGCTTGCTTTGCCAAAGCAAGCAAATAAAAAACGACATTAATTTCTTGACAACCTGATATAATAGATTCTTGAGCGTTTCAATCGTTTAGACGTCTAAGTTAAGGATTAAAACTTATGTGAACTCTTCGATATTTATGCTCCAAAGCAATTCAGTTGGTTTGGTGTGAGTCTAAAAATAAACAAATTTTGGAACGGATGTTAAGACGCATAAGTTTTGAGTCTTCCATAATGTAGTTTAAGTATCCTGCAAGTACACATAACCAAATTCGTTGTCATGTGATTGTTTGTGGGTTGTAAGCAAACCATCTGTTTGTTCGAGTCTTGTATCTAAAACTCGCGCGTGCGAAAAAACACGTCAAGTACGTAAAACCTAATACGTTTGTTTTTCCAGGGATCCGCTTCGGTTCTGCTTTTTACCTTGAAAACGAAGCCCAGTTTGAGCTTAAACCATTTGTGCCGAGCCCTGACTGAGGCGTGGAAAAGAATCTATTTATAGCTGATTTCGAGTGATACAAAGTGTGCCAAACCCTGGAAATGGTATCCCGCCTACGGTGCCGGATCAGAGCTCGGCACGAGGTGGCTAGTTGAAAATGCAAAAAACGAAGTCTTCCCACAAAAGTACGACATCCCTCTTGACACGCTAACGAACAAATCAAACATGAAAACAAAAAGAATGAAACAGAATACAAGACCGACACTAAATAGACAATAAGACCTAGTAATTGTTTGTATTCTCCGGGTTGACGGCATGCCATGCTGTGTTCGCCGCGCACAACCGCGAGCTTGGAGCAGCTTTGCCGCTGCCATCCAGATAATTTGGAGGGCTATAACTAGGCGGGGAGGAGAGGGTTTGGGGAGGTACAAGTTGTTTTGTAAAATATTAGATGTAGATTACTTTTATGTAAAAGATTTGGAAAAAGTATGTAAAGAATAGGAATTATATGACTTTGTTTGCGCTAAGCCACCTCAGGTGGCTATCCAGGTGGCTTGAAAGCCACCTATCCCCGAAAAAACTTTGCCATACCCTTAGTTCACATAATTTTTTCAAAATTTTTCATACATAGTCCCAACTCCCTACTGCCCTTCTACACACCTATTTTTGTGCCATTTCATCTTCACTTCGCTGTAAACAAACCCTTTGTTTATTTGCTGGCCGCATACCGGCAGCGTGCCGACAGCAGATCGAAAGACAGCGTTATGCTCTTCCGCAAAAACGATACTCCTTTGCTTTTTCCTCTAAAAACAATATCCAGCTTGCTCTGCAAGCCACCTATGCCGAGCCCTGTGCCGGATGGTAGAAAGAACGATGTCAAGTACTCAGGGCGCCTTTCGAATCAAATGAAAACGACACGTCCGCCCGACAACACGCCATGAAGACTGCCTCATGCTCTGCACCTACAACGCCAGGATAGTCTCCACAAACACCGATCTCCACGCTTTTCTCGACGCTGCAGAGCACATCAAGTACCACGTCATCGCAATGCAAGTCCAGGAAGAAGGACATGCGACAGATGAGTGATGAGACCTTCATCATTCGTGATGAAAAGGTTTTATCATGAAAAGTTGGAGGCATTGGCTTTGTCGTCCACCCATCTATCGCCCATCTTGTCGATTCGCATGAGATCCTGTCATCTCGACTAGCCATCCCACGACTACAACCTCCACGTCAGAAGACCATCAGCATCATCAACTGCTACTCACCAACATCACAGTTAACGAATCAGAACTAGATGTTTTCTACGAAGACGTGGAGGAGGTCGTCCGCAACGAGAAGCCCTTTTACAAGTTTGTTGTGGGCGACTTCAACGCGAAAATCGGGATGCCACTGGAAAAGGATTATAGGATCGGGAAGTTTGGAATTGGGCTCCGGAACAAAAACGGCAAGCGACTCGTTGGGCTTCTCCGGCCGCACGACTTTTCCATGGAAATTCCATCTTCATGAAGAAAAAACATCGCCGGTGGATTTTGGGATCGCCCAACGGAACGACTTATGCGAAGATCGATCACATTCTCACCAACAGAAGGTGGAGCTGACTTGACATTTCAGTAGTTCCATCCTTCTGCAGTGGCCGATCACCGCCTCCTTCGAGCAAAGGTACGACTCAGTTGAAAGCTGGAAAAGAAAACCTGCCATAGTGCTACACAAGAGAGAATTAGCTTTATGACGGTAACATCCTGTGAAATCTCATATCAAGTTGTAACTGGCCCATCGAGAGGACCCAACGTACGACTACGACCGGCTTCCGAAAGGATTGCGAGCCTGCGGAGAGTGCGCCTCAGTGACTTCTAAGAAAAATTTGGAACGTGTTTCGAGAACACTAAGGAAGAAGGTTTCTAAGGCAGGATCCGAACGCAGCTTATCTCAGCGACTGATAGCCAACGCCAGTTGCAGAACAGCTTTGCAGGACGGTCTCAGGAAGTACAGGCAAACCAAGGTACTGGAAGCAGCCGAAGGAAGACGAAGTCTTAAAAAGTGCCAAAGGGACCTTTGAGAATATGACGTACCGCTGGCTGCACTATTGAACGAAGACTGGACTCCGACTTCTTCCCGATAGAAGGTGAATCTATCGCGAAGAACTTCTAAACCTTTTCCGCTCATTAACACCCGTGCCGATGCCCGTTGTTCCCAGTGGAGAAGTACCACCACGAATTCCACCTGCAGTGCGCAAAGCGATTCAGCCATGAAGACGTCCACTGCTCCAGGAGCAGACCATATTTCCGTCAAATTTATGCGAGCCGGAGGACCGAGATTTTCTCGTCGCACCTGACATTTTACCTTTAAAAGGAGAGGGTCCTCAACAGTGAAAAACATTAAGTACCGTCCTTTTCTCAAGAAGGGTGAAGGATCTTCGGAACTACTGTCAAATATGCCTCTGAGTGTGCTGTACAAGCTTTTCACGAAAATTTTCCTCGTGCGCATATGTAGGACATGGATGGAGCCCAACCCCAAGAACAGGCTGAGTTCCGCAAGGGATTCAGTTGCACGGATCACATCCAAACTGTCGTGAATACCGATTGCCTCTCGCCCTAAGGCTGCGTTCATACTGATTTCCATGTTCTGGAACTGTTCCCGCACAGTTCTCAGCACTGTGCGAGAACTGTGCGAGAACAGTTCCAGAACATGGGAATCAGTATGAACGCAGCCTAACCTTCGTCGACTACGAGAACGCCTTTGACAGCGTCGAAACCAACGCCATCCTGTCTGCGCTAGTCGATCAAAGAGTGGATCTAGCTTACGTGAGGAGGTTAGCCGACTGCTATTGGGACTGTACAACGACGGCAGCTATCCCATCGCCTCCTGTCTCTTCCAGCTGGGAAGGAGGTCCGAAAAGGCGACACAATTTCGCCGAAACTGTTCACAGCAGTCTTGCGTGGTTGATGAAGTCACTGGACTGGGACGAGAACGGCATACGAGTTAAAGGGAGATTCTTGTCGAACCTTTGTTTTGCGGACATATCGTTTTTTTGGGTCAGTATCACTGAAGCAGAGACGCATGGAGACGTCTTCTTGCGTGTACCTCGGACGTTCGATGAACATGGAGAACGACTTGAGGGAAGAACTTAACGTAAGAAGAAGAGCAGCCTGGGCCGTTTACGGGCCTCTTGAAGGAAGCCACCGATCAACTGAGAGTTCCGGAGCTTCGTGCCCACTTGTTCGACTCAACCGTTCTCCCGGCGCTCTGTTACGCAGCTGAGACTTGGGCCGACACCGTAGTCTCGTCTAAGGCTCTGCGGACCACCCACAAAACGCTCGAGCGCAGTCTTCTGAAATAACCCGACAAGCAACATCTAGTCGGACTTGCAGTACGGATATGAAAAGAATGTCCCGTCATCGTAACCCAGCGGAATACATTGCAAGCGAAACACCGATCGGCCGGTCACATCATGAGAAGAACGACAGATGGACACTAAGAACATCTGAGTGGATTCTCGCGAAGTCGGGATGGACCAGCTGGAAATCGGCTGGTTACGATTATCGCACCTAGAACTCGTGGAAGCAGCCACCGACGACGATCAAGAAGATCGTATACGTTTGAAGCGAGGGACAGGAACAAAAAGCTTTTGTGCTAAAAACAGCACGCCGCGTGAAGACGAGCCAGCCTAAGTGTCTACAGGCTGCTGCATGACGAAGGCGGAATATCGTCGGGCGTGAACGCGGCTTTATCAGCCGCAGAGCGCACAAGACCGGGATTTATAAGAGGATGCGCGGCGCCGCGTTCGCGTCCGCTCAGTTAATATCACTTCTGCGCCGTCGTCATGCAGTAGCCTTTGAGTATCTATGTATCACTTCGGATTTACTAGCAAATCACATAAATTGTAGAGCGTATGAGCAGAGTCTCAGTCTCAAGGTCTTTAGGCTCAACTTACTTGACCTTCTATGAAACAAAAAAATTTCGCGGTTCAACACCAAGCGCGATAGCTCTTTCAGATGTTGGAATGTTGTAAATAAAACTTTCCTGAACCATACACATTGCCTGTACTCTACACTTGCAGATGATGGACAACGATACGTCAGAAAAACATCAGTCCGCGCAACGTGCTGCACTTTCACAAGAGGACAAGAACGAGAAATAGGATACTTTGTCAATGTTCATTCTTTCAGAACAAAAATGACCTTGAATCAAGCTATAAAATGCAGCTTTTTTTAGAGGTTTTAGAGATGAATATTTAAAATGCTAATCTTTATGCGTGACTAAAACGACATCCATGTTTAAATATAGAGTAATGGAAAGGCACAGCCCTTATGTAATATTTCTTAGGCCTCTGTTTAGTCCTTCCAGCCTATGATCTGATTGATTGAGATGGTACTGATTCTTTGTCGTACATTACTTTTTGTGACAAGCAAAGAACGGGGCAATGCCTTAGTACATAAAAATCGTCAAAATTTGAAACTTATGCTCTCACAAGGGATGCATGTTTAGTTGAAGTGGCCCTTTCAGATGAGATGTATATACTATATCGTAGGGCAAAAAAATGCTGATTCCAGAACTGCTTTCCTTATCTGCAGAACGTTCGTGGACGAGAAGTTACGAGCGCTTATCGAAGAAAAAATTGAATGTGCAAATAGGACAACAATAGTCGTGATACTTTTTCTAGTTTTTTCAATGGAGCAGTGATAATCAACAAAGCTCTTTATTTGAAAATTATTAGGTCGTTCTGAAAGTAATGTCGCTTTTTTCGAAAGAACGCCATACTTTATGGAATCAAGATTTTCAATAGATCTTAGGATCATTCGATGCAGCATTTCATCCTCCTTCTAAAAGTTGCAATTTCATTGCATAATATCTAATGAGCTCTCGAAAAATTACCAAAATCTGCGGCACATGCTTTTTGCCATGGTCAAGTTCGGCTATTTTTCTAAAATTTTGTACCTATTCTGCGAAGAAGCGCAAATGACAGGTAGATAGAAAAAATCCTATAGGACACAGATTAACTTCTTCCTTTTCCTTAGCTTGTTTCTTTGAGTTTCTGGAACCGATTCTTTAATGCCATCAAATTTCATATGTGGTCAACTCAAACCTCACAGAACAATAACCGGCAAGCAACTCGGGTGTCATTCGACGCAGCTTTCTCTCCTCTTTCTACTAGTTGTTTTTTGTTTCCATTTATCAAGTTTTCCGGTATAAAATTATCATAATTCAGTTTTTCAGGGCGTTCCAGGCTGTACCCGGAATTTTTAAAAGTTGCTAATCTGAAGCGGTGAATAGTCATTGGGTTTGTAAGTTAGTGTCAAACCATAATCCACCTTTGTAAGTTTCAAAATCCGAAGATTTATTGGTGTTTGATGCACTTGTGTCTGAGGCGAGAATGCTGAAATTTGGTGGTTCCATCAAAAAATCTATATGAAAATTATGACGAGTACTGGAAAGTAGAAAAAAAGTTGTGCTGTTTCCTATAGGGCTTGCTCTATCCATCCATTACTTGGACTCCTTCCGAGGGTTGTTGCAAAAATTTAGAAAAATTTTGAAACATGGTCTTCTCAAAAAGCATGGGTCGCAGATTTTGATAATTTTTCGAGACATTATCAAATTTTTTGCAGTGATTATATAACTATTAGAAAGAGAATGAAATGCTGCATCAAATGCTTCCAGAACCTCTTACATATCTTTGTTCCACGAGATGTGGCGTTCGTTTGAAAAAAGCGACATTACTTTCGGAACGACCTAATATTCAAAAATGAGAAAATATACCACATCGGAGTGAATTATTTGAGAGTAAGATTCTAGCAAGTCATTTTACTATATTTACAATGCACAATTATATTTTTGGCTTTAAAAAGCGCTCATAACTCCTCGTCCATAAAAGTTCCACAAAACGCAAAAAAGGAAGGCAGATTTGGAATCAGCGTTTCATGCTTTTTAAAGGCAGCGTTCAGGCAAAATCCGTCCACTCAGATTAGCACATAGTGGTAAAGAGGGGCCCATGAGTATCCGATCTGCGTTGTTCCAATCCTTTGACGTGCCCTTTAAAAAGAGATACGGGCTTGGATACGTATCACAAGCCGCCCCTTCTTATCACAAACCACCCCTTACGCAGGTGTGCGGTTGCATTGCAATTGCATTGCAGTTGCACTGCACATTGCAATGCAACTGCATCCGTGCAGTTGCAGCTCCTCCCGCTGGCATGACGATGGGGACGAGCAATTCGAAACTCGTCCGCTCCTTGAAGAGAGGGTCTCCAAGAACCGGGTTTGTTGGCAGTTTTGAACAATTTGGACTTTACAACTGTAATCAGGGCCACGGAAAGGCCCCAGAATGGCAGGAACATGAGAGGCGAAATTTTGCCCGGACGCTGCCTTTAATAAGGTATGCCTCAATTGGAAAGGCCATATTTAAAAACAAGTTTTCCTTGTTAGTCGTAAAGACTTCGGGGACAAAACCAACATAATTCACTATTTTGAAGCGTCCCGCAGCGCCCGGAAAGCTCGAGATTTATGTTTCGAGTTCTTGAACGATCACCTGTTTTGTTTAGCTAGTGGTTGCTTTTTACCCTGCAACATTTACTCTCTCCATGCGTTACTGAAATTCTCCTAGGAATCATACAAATTAATTAGCGAAACTTGACCATGGAAAGCAAGGGTTTCAGATTTTGATGATGATTAGGATTTCGTTTACTGCAGTGCAATAAAAGCATAGTCATTAAAAATGAGAAGATGACAATGCACAGCCTTTATAAATTTGTTCTGCCAATTGGGTAGCTGTTCAGAAACAGCGAGATTACTTTTGGGACAACATGATTTGATGAAGCATTTGAACTAGCGCAAAAAAATTGATTCACGTGAAGTCTGGAAAAAAAGTTCAAAAATCTCAAAAAGATTCCGTTCAGAAAATCCCTACGGACCTCTTGCCCACAGATGCACTACAAAACCACTCATAATTCGTCAAAAAAGCTGCCAGAGTGTGCTGCAGTGCGCCAGGTGCGGCAGAGTGTGCCGCACTCCACTACAATCCGCGTCGTATCGCCATATCTCGCTGAATGCATGAATTCTGAATCCGAGGAAACCATTCGATTCAGCTCTGGTACATAGAAGTGCCACAATCTACTTGGTACGTATACGGCAGACAATAAATTTTCGCTCAATTTAGATTTTCATTTGATTGGATTGTTCAGTGTGCTGATAACAATATTGCCGTTAATCTCGCTGATGACACATAGTAGATATACTTTAGAAGTGTAGTAATGAGTTACTCTGATCGAATTTGCTCTAAAATCAAAAATCAGCTTTCAAGCTACAATACCGCTTACAGAATGTATAAAATCTCCGTGAATTTCGCGAATTCTGGGAATTGCGCGAAAGGCCGTGATATTCCGGAAATTTCGCGGCACTCCAGGATCCGCGGAATCACGGAAATCGCGCAGAATACCGAGCTCCATAACTTCCTTCGAAATGATCATATTCTGAGTCCGAAGAAAGTTTTGTGCCCAGCTCATCAAGGCAAATCTTTCGATATGCAGCATGTTTTTGATATTCCGACTTCAGCATTCTTGAAATTTTCTGCGGACGTCCTTTCGCAAAGGTGTAAGGCACCGCGCATTGCTCCTAGTAGATTTCAGCAAAGATCTTTTAATAGTATTTTTTCTGTAGATTATAGAGCGTCAAAAAGTAGTCACAGGCGTCTCTTCAAAGGAGATGGAAGGGCTAATGGATTCTGGGAAAATCATGTCGTTCCAAACCTCACTCACCATGACCCTATAATATGAAGCTATTTTGCTAAGCCGATGTGATTTTCGTAGTCAGCATGTCGGAAAATTTCTATAGGCAAGTTTTTCGAGAACTGCTGGTTATTTCATTTTTTCTGTTTTACTACGCTCTAAGTCCGCCCATGGATTTGAAATGTTTAATCTTATATTGTAAGGAAACTTCGCTTATAGAGGTTTTCGGACATGCTGTTTATAAAATCGTGGTGTCTGTCAAATACAAGGTCTTTTTGCAGAGATATGTGAGGTGACTGTAACTGAATCACGAAAGCTCGTAATTTTATCTGCACCTATCGCGTTCCTGTCAAAAACTTGCGCGCTTGCTTTTACAGCCCAAAGTTAGTGTAAACTGAATCATCGAATGGGAAATGTCTCAGACTCCAGTCTATAAATATCGCCGAGTTACGAGTCTACAAAATCACGTCCTCATGAATTTTGTCCAAAATGTAAAGATTGCATATTTCGTCGAAATTCCACCGCGAGTGCTTATATGACACTCGCATTGCAAATATTATGTTCGCTTCGCCCAATGACTTCCACTGTATTGAACATGGTGCTTGCATGTGCTTCAGCTGCTCAACTGAATATCAAAGCCATTTCGTGGCTAGATCAAAGCAATTGTCGGGGTTTTCGCGGATTCTCGACTGCAGATTTGGAATCAGGGACATGAGCAGGCCTTGAAATGACAAAAACCTGGAAGTCGCGAATCCGGTGGACGGTGCCTTCAAAGATGTAAAAAGATTTGATCAGCGTATTGAACAAGCACTCACGGTGGAATTTCGACGAAATATGCGATCTTTACATTTTGGGCAAAATTTATGAGAACCTGTTTTCGTAGACTCGTAACTCGGCGATAATCATAGACTGGAGCCTGAGTCATGCAACACTCGATACCACAGTTTCTAGTAGCTTTGACTCAAAAAGGCAAGCAGACCAGTTTTCTGACAGATACGCGAGGAGTGCGGTCAAAATTACGCACTTTCGTGTTTCATTTCAGTTTATCTCCAAAAAGACCCTGTATTTGACAGACACCACGATTTCATAAACAGCGTGTTCGAAAAACTTTATGAACCGAATTCCTTTCAAACCAAGATCATCCATAAATTCCGATCAAAATTCACTGGCGCGATTCAGAGCGTGCAACACGAGAAAAGAATCAAGTACTCCAAAGTTCTCTGAAAACTTGCTTGTAGAAGTTATCTAAACTGCTGATTTCGAAAATCACATCTGCTTAGCAAGATAGCTACGTATCCTAGGGTAATGACGAGTAGAGTTTGGGGCGACAAGATTCAATTTACCAGCCCTTCTATCTCTTTTGGAAAGGGGCAGCTACTTTTTGGCGATCTATTAGGTTGTCCGGAAATTAATGTCCGTTCTGAATTCCAACCACAATAAGTCATACACTTTTCATTTCTAAATATATTGCAAAGCACCATTCGATAGAGCAAAGTAAGCTCTACAAGATA